CTTCATGCCCTCCACATCTTGTGGGAGCAGGAGAGGAGTTCTTTATACAGAAACTGAGAATCATCTGGCTCGTCCTGGGATCTGGAAATCCTGCCCACATCTCCAGCCAGCTTTTCCGACCAAGTGTTTCAAGGACACACTGTAATGTTTCTTCAAGCCTACCTTTCTACTAGATGGCACTCAGCAGTCATATTCACTGTATTTACACTTCATAAACAAGAAAGAGCACTCTCAGAACTGCTTCAGAAAGTGGCAAGAATGATGGGACAAGTGTGTTCAGACTGAGGGGGAATATTTGGAGGGGCATGAATAACAGTGTATCTTTTACTGTAATAAAAAATTTGTAATTGAAACATTCATATATTTTGATCACCTTTTATTTTAATTGTACTTAGGGCATAAAATAGCTTTGGCTCTCTTCCTGTCCCTGACCATACCTATCTTGCTAAGGAGTCCTTTGCTTATGTGGCCTCATTTAAAACACTTTTAGCTTTGAAATATCAACTGACATAGTTATTTCAACTCAGCCTTTCTTCCCCACTCAGACGGTGTGAGAGTGATTAGAATGATAGATTGAGCAATAATTTTTACCAAGGTGACAGTTTGCCCACATACAGATGTGTGTGATTTTCTTCTCATGAACCTGGACATACTAGGATAAATTCAATACTGCAGTGCAGTAGCTATGGCCCTAAAGTTGTTGACCTTACAGTGTTTTTTTCCTTAACTTAATTCATCTGAGTTAGGTGGGTGTTGAAATTGATAGAGAATTCATCACCAAATACCTTTGTAAGATCTCTGGGATCAAGAGTGTAATCTGTTCTCCACACATCTAAGAGTTCTATTAGTGAATCTAGACATAGCCAGGTCCATTGGCACAAACTCAGTTGTTAGATTCACAGCAGTAGGTTATGAACCAGCACACTGGTTTACAGTGGGAGCTCTGTTCTTTCATGGGATATTTGTCTACTGTTCATAATACTCTTTTTCCTGGCAGTATGATACCTAAGAAGTTAAATTGAAAATTAGAAAGCTGCTGGATGTGGTGGGGCAGCCCTGAAATCCCAGGAGACCAAAAAAGACCAAAAATTTGAGGCCAGCCTGTGGGACTTAGACCCTGTCTCAAAAAAAATTTTTTTTTGGTACTGGGGATCAAACTTGGGACCTTGTGCTTGCAGGGCAGGTGGTGGAAACACTGAGCTAAATCCCTGGCCCCATGTCTCAAAATTTTTAAAAAGGGCTAGAGATGCAGGTCAGTGGTAGAGTGTTTGTCCGGTGTCCCTGAGGCTCTGAGTGTAGTACTGAAAAAAAAGAAAAAAGTTATAAGGCTGGTGAACAAGGAACCAGGTTATGTCATCAAAACCACAAAGAAGTCATATATGTTTTTCTGTCCTCAAAGAGAGCAAGTTCTTCTAGTGAATAGAATATTCTTCTCTACAGATTCACTAGTTTTCTTTCTTTTTTTTTTCTTTATTGAACAGACTGGATAAACTCTATCAAATTCTAGCTCTTTGGCCTCCTTTTCTGTAGTAGTATTTTCTTAACACGTATAATGAACTGGATTAGACTCTTGCTTGTGTTTTTGTTTCATCAGTCATTGCACAGTTATGAGCTGGGCACAGTGGTGCATGCCCGTAATTCCTGCACTTGGGAGGCTGAGGCAGGAGGATCACTACAAGTTCGAGTCCAGCTTGGGCTACATAGTTCAGGGACATAGCGAGACCCTGTCTCCAAAAACAAAACAAAACAAAACAAAATGAAACAAAACACAGGTATGAGACATAATACCTTTGGTCACAGTTTTTCATGTTTTCTTTTCTTTCTTCTTATTTTTTTTCTCTTTTAGACGGAATCTCACTGTGTTTTCCAGGTGAGACTTGAGCTCAGCATATAGCCCAGGCTGGCCTTAAATTCTTGATCCTCCTGCTTCAAGCTCTAGATGTGGGTTATTCTCCTATACTTTCTATTACCATCTCTTGAGGCAGGTTACTTCTTATCCATTATTCAAGACTTCCTAGTTGCTGCAAGAGTCTTATCAACACATTCTAGAAGAGAGCAGGGATGTGTGGAGGTCAGTGGCAGAGGGCCTGCTTGCATGCATGCGGCCTTGGGTTTTGTCCCGGTACTGCAGAAAAGGAAAAAAAAGTCTATGAGGAGGAATTCACTATAGCCTCTATGTATTTAGAGTTCCTGGTACTTTAATGTTCTGCTATTTACAGTAATTCATTAAATCTCAAAATAAAAGTCAGAATTAATAATCAAAATATCAAAGTATAAAACACTGGTGTTCCTTGTTCTGGATCTATTCATTCCTGATGATGTAGTCCTCAGTCTTCTATCTCTCTACACAAGGTCGAGTAAAAGAATAGCCCTATTGGGCTGGGGATGTAACTCAGTGGTGCCACCGGCTGACTCGCAAGTTCAAGGTCCTGAATTCGATCCCTGGTACCAAAAAAACAAAAAAAATAGCCCTATATCTTTTATGCATTCAGAGTTTATCTGCATGTTTTCATTGGCCCAGTTCAGGAAAAAGGTACTCCTTTTCTGTTGTTACTCTTATCCCCTGGAGTGACACTTCTTCCTTCAGGCACTTTTCTAAAGTAATTATTGGTGGGAAAGAGTGCTTTTTGCCTAAGAATCTGTAGTAAAGTTAAAAAGCCTTTGCTTTTTAATCATGGCTTTATTTTTTTACTAGGTGTCTTGGTTACTTTTCTTATTGCTGAGACAAGATACCTAATACCCAAAGTTAAAGGAGGAAAGGTTTATTTCAGCTCACACCTCATAGAGGTTTCAGTTTATAGTTGGCTGGTTCCAAGGAAGGGTGGCATGACACAGGAGAAACAGAATATGGCGGGCAGAAGGCAGCAAAACAGCGAAGTAGTAAGTGACAGTAGCAGCAACCTGCCTCTCCTTTTTAACCCTTTCAAGCTACCTGCCCTTTGGATGGTGCCACCCATACCCAGGGTGGGCCTTCCCATTATCCACACTCAGAACTATGCCAAACTAATCAGTGGACTAGTTTAGTCATCACATATTCTTTTTTTTTAATTTTTTATACCGGGAATGGAACTCAGGACCTTGCACTTGTGAGGCAGGCACAATGGCACTGAGCTAAATCCCTGGCAATAATCACATATTCTTAATCCCACCATCACAGACTTAATCCCAGCATCATATACCCTAGACCCAGCCACCTCAGAAAAACCCCACCTGTGACCGCATGAGGCTTTGGGGGATGTTTATACACAAGCCATTATACTTGGGACTTGGCATTTTTCCTATTCTGAGATATCCCAGATCCATAATAATTCCTATGTACTATAAGTTCTTTTACATGCCAAAGTTTACAAATAATACATACTATGTAGTAATATTATATAGTGATATAGAATGCATGCTATACACTATATTATATATGTGTATGGATAGTATATATGTATGTACCTGGCTTTCCATCATATTGAACTTTTTTCTTATTCTGTCTCACACTTTCTTCCGACTTTCTACCATATTCTTTATTTTGCTTTTTGGTTTTTGTTTTATTTTGTTTTTTGTTTTGAGACAGGGTCTCCCTATGTAGGCCAGGCTGGCCTTGAACTCATTATGTAGCCCAAGGTGGCCTCAAACTCATGGTGATCCTCCTGCCTCAGCCTCCCCAGTGCTGGAATTACAGGCTTGCGCTACCATGTCTAGCAATCTTGTTTTTGTTTTATGGGGGGAGTTGGTTTGTTTTTGGCATGGGATCTCACTGTGTTTCCCAGGGTGGCCTTAAACTCCTGACCAACCTCAAGTGATCTTCCTGCCTCAGCCTTCCAAGTAGCTAGCAGTACAGATAGGTACTTGGTTCTGTAGCCTGTTTTCACCCGTAAGATTGATTGCTTTCCCTTTGGAATGCCAGCTGCCATGTGTTTTTGTTCTTACTCTGACCCAAGTTTGTTTGATTTCTACTTTGTAAGATGAACAAGAAGCCGAAGCTCTCCTCTTTAGCTGATTAAAACATAAAAATAATACAGAGTTTAGAATATAATCAATTTTTTATTCCAAACTGAAAAATAAGAAAATTTGGAAAATGTAGAAAACTTGAAAAAAATTATTTCTATTTTGTGACCCAAAGAAGTCATTGTTTTGGGCTGGGAATGTAGCTCAGTGGTGTAGCGCCTGCCTGGCAAGGGAGAGGCCCTGAGTTTGATTCCTGGTATCGAAAAAAAAAAAAGAAGTCACTGTTTTGTGGTCCTCCATTTTTTCCCTGTGCATGTGTTTACATATTTTGAACCTGTGATTATGCTTTCATAATAATGTGATAATGACTTTTCAGGAGACTTGAATCGGAACATCATCTGGGCTAGAAATTTGTTGAATGATTTTAAATAGATTTTTTGTTTTTTGGTACCAAGGATCGAACTCAGGTCCTTGTGCTTTCGAGGCAGGCAGCAGCACCACTGAGCTAAATCCCTGGCCCTTGAATAGATTTTTATAGGTGTTCAATAAATATTTGTTGGGTCGGGCATGGTGGCGCATGTCTGTAATCCCAGCACTCAGGAGGTAAAGGCAGGAGGATCTCTGCAAGTTCGAGGCTGGCCTGGGCTACATACTGAGTTCAGGGCCAGCCTGATCTACAAAGTGAGACCCTGTCTCAAAAAACCAAAAAATAAATAAATAAATAAATAAATGTTTAAAATGTGCCTCAGTTTCCCCATTTCTCCTGTGGGGGAAAATCATTTACAGCAGTTTTTCTGAGGATCAGTGAGAAACAGACTGTAAGTATTCAAAGTGGCAGCAGGGCATGGTGGGACACACCTGTAAACCCAGCTTCATGGGGGGGCTTGCACTCAAGGGCCAAGAGTTCAAGGCAGCCTACTCACCATAGTGAGCTTGACTCAGAATAAAATTGGAGAAAAGGCTGGTGATGCAGCTGAGTGGAAGAGTTTGCCCTTCCATCCCCAGATGGGGAAGGGTGGTTGGTTAGACTGTGTGGCTATGACATCACCTCTGCTTCCTAGAGAGCACTACTGGAGAAGAAGCAGAGGACGAAGCGCCTGGAGCCCCTCATGGTCCAGCCAAACCCAGAAGCCAGGCTGCGTCGGCTGAAGCCCAGCGGCAGTGAGGAGCACACGCCGTTGGTAGAACCTCAGACTCTTCACAGCGATGTCGTCCTGCATGGTGTGTATTAGGCAGCTGAGTTTCCTGCTGGAGTGCAGCTTCACAGACCTGAGAGAAGGCAGGAGGATTCTGAGATGAATTCTCTCAGTCTTAGCATGGTTACTCAGTACCACCACAGGTCTCTGTAATCATTCTGGCTCTTTGAGTAGAATTTTTAAAAATAGTCTCATCAGCAGAAGATGGCTTCGAGTTCATGTCCATTCTAGAACTTGTTTTTAGATGCCAGTTGAATTAATCTAAAATGACCTATTTCAAGCACTTACAGGGGTTTTTTTGGGGGGGGGCGTTGTTTGCAGCACAGGGGGTGTGTCTTAGTTACTTTTGTTGCTGGGCAAAATATCCGACACCTAAAGTTAAAGGAGGAAAGGTTTATTTGGCTCACGGTTTTTTAGAGGTTTTAGTGCATAGTTGGCTGGTTCCAAGGCAGGGCAGCATGGCAGAGGGGCATTGCAGAGGAGAAACAGTCCATGGCAGGCTGAGGGCTCCAAAGCAGTGAAGTAGTAAGGAACCAGCAGCAAGCAACAGCAGCAGTCCTCTTTCTGTCCCTTACATTCAGGCTACCTGTCCTTAGGGTGGGTAGCACTCATACCCAGGTAGGCCTTCCCATTATCCACACTCAGTACTATGCCAAACCAATCAGTGGACTAATTTAGTAACCACACACCCTTAATCCTAGCATCACACACTCTAGATGCGGCCACCTCTGAAAAGCACCACCTGTGACTCCATGAGGCTTTGAGAGGACAGCTGGACACAAGCCATAGCAGGTGGAACCCAGAGCTTTGTGTATTCTGGGCAAGCATTATGCCACTGAGCTACACCCTTATCTGTGAGAAGTTCACAGTTTTGATTGTTGTATTTGGCAGCCGTTAGCCATGATCCAAGAGTAGGAGAGAGCATCTTTTCTTATCATAGGTAGCTCAGAGGACCATTGAGCTGGTGAGAGGAGAAAGAAGAGGATGAAGAGCCTCTCTGTCATGCTGCTTGAGCAGGGCTCAGACAGGATCTGTACTGTAGAGGACCTGCTTTGTTCTCTTGATCTCATCCTTTCTGTGCCCCCTTCCATGCTGGGATTGGAACTCAGTGCTTTGCCCATGCTGAGCAAGTATTCTACCACTGAGGTATACCCCAGCCTCTTAAGTTTTAGTTTTAAAGTGAGAGATAAAATATATGTTACTACACGCAGTAGCCAAGCATGTTATCAACATGAACCTCATCTTGGATAAATGTCTTTGCAGTATTTAGGAAGGAGAGGTGAAATGGTTTGGTGGTTGGGAATTGTGATCACACGTCCAAACCACCTAGCCATGTAGTACGTGACACTTTCCTGTTTCTTGGGCTCCTAGGCATTGATGGTCCAGCTGTCTTCCTAAAGCCAGATGCTCATGATGTAGAAACCACACTTCATGTTCTCTCAGTAGGCTCTTCTGCTGCAGAGGAAGATACTGAAGGCAGTGCTGACAGAGAAAGCACTGTAAATTCTACTTCCAAACAAGACCTTCAGGAAATTCTCCAAAAACATGGTGAGGATTGGTGAGGATTTTAAGGCACCCCTGCCCTGCTGAAGTCTGGGGCTGGAGACCTTATCTGGTCACCACACCCCTCGCCAGGGTTTGCCAGGGTTTCACCCTATCCTCTTGCCCAGCTTGGTCCTGGCATTGGCATGGGCAGCCTCTTTGTGTGATGGCAGCCCCTGGACATGACCGTCTCGTCTCCCCTTACCGTTAGTGCTTTCTTCCTGTCCACATCTAGGCCTGGACAGGAGATCGTGGGGCCCCATGTCTCCTACTCTGTTGCCTCGCTCTCGTTCCTCTCTCCTCCAGCCACCAAGCAGAGAATGAGTGGGCTTGTCTTTTGCTTCTCCTTCATCCTCTAAGCTTTAACAGTGAACTGGGCTCTCCCCTTCACTGCAGCGGGACTCTGTGGCCTGAGTTCTCCAAGCTTGTGCCGATGCGCAGTATGACCAAAATATCTGGTGAATATTTAAACAATTTTTTAAATTGTTAAAGTAAAAAATACACTGCCATTAATAATCCCCCTCAAAAAAAATAATCCTCCTCAGGATCCTTCCCTCACTTAAGACATACCTATCCCACCGTTCTTGCTACTTTTGTGTGGGGGTGGGTGTGTTTTGAGGCAGTTTCACTATGCAGTTTAGGCTGGCCTTAAAGTCTCTATGTAGCCCAGTCTGGCTTCAAACTCAGAGGGATCATTCTGCCTCAGCCTGCTGAGTGCTGGGATTACAAGTATACACCACCATGCCGAGCATTTTTTTTTCTTTTGAATCAGCCTTACTGTGTAGTTCAAACTGACCTTGAACTCACTATGTAGTCTAGGCTTGTCTTGAATTCATGGTGATTCTCCTGCCTCAGCCTTCTGAGTGCTGAGATCACAGGAGTGCACCACCATGTCTGGCAATTCTTGCCACTTTCTGGAAGTTTTCTTTCATGAGTATCTAAGTCACTTTCTCGCTCAAAGACAGAATAACTGACATTGCACCTAAAAGAAGTTTATTTTGGTTCATGTTTCCAGCCATAGTTGGCTGGCTCCAAGGCAGGATAGCATGGTAGAAGGGATTGGCAGAGGAGTAGCTAGCTGCTCACTTCATAGCAGGAAGTAGAGAACATGAAAGGAAGAACCTTCATGGGATGGGAGATGCACTCTGCCAAGCCACGCCTCCAATGACCCACCTCTTCCAACAAGGCCCCACCTCCTGACAGCAAGTCACCTATACCTCCCCCATAAACCTTCCAAAATCCCCACCTATGAGTGCATGAGGCCCTTGAAGACATCTAGAGAGATCTCAACCCTAACATTTCTCCTTGTCCCCTAAAAAATGTATGTGCATCTCGTATGCCAAAGTCTTAAGAGCAGTGCTGGAAAGTCTTAAGTTCAAAGTCTCCTCTGAGACTCAAAGCAACTCTTAGCTGTAGCCCCTGTAAAATCAAAAAGAAATTAAACACTGCCTACATGGCAATGGCACCAGATAAATATTCCCATTCTTAAAGGGAGAAGTAGAAGGATAGAAAGGATTGGAATTAAAGCAGGACCAAAACCCAGCAGTGCAAACATTAAATCCTGTAGCTCCATGTGCAGCACCCAAGACAAACTGTGGCAAGATGTAAGCACCAAATAGCATGGTACCCCACCCCCAGGGCCATAACTGGTGGTTATAGCCCTCATGCCTTTCAGGTAGCTTTGGTCAGTCCTTGACCAAAAGGACATTTCCTCAAATGTCCTATATTCCTGGCCTCCAATTTCCTGGGGTCTCCACTACACCTTCAGGTTCACCCTTACAGCTTCACACACTGCCCTCTCAGGGGCACACTGTCTGGCCTCCCAGACCTTCTTCTGAAATCTGGATGGAAGCCTCCCTGACCCCGCAACTCTTAGATTCTGTGCCCATGAAACTAGCACCATGTGGATGATGCCAAAGTCTGCTGTCAGCACAAGCAGTAGCCAGCCTTCTTGAATTGTGGCTGCAGGGGCCTCGGAGTGCCTGGGTAGCTGAGGACTGGGAACAAATTCCCTAGGGGGTTGTTCCTAAGCATGGTCCGCTGGGGCTCTTTTCTCTTAGCAAAGTCTTTTACCTTTGAAATTTTACCCTGGGAAGGGTAGGGCTCAGCTGATTCCTAAGAGGCCCTTGAGCCATTTTTCCTTTTGTCCTGATCCAGAGTACTTGGCTTCTTTTTCATCTTTTCAGCAACCAACTTTCTTTGGCTAAAATTTTGCAGGCTCTTCCTTTCTAGGGAAAATGAAAACTTTTCAAATGGGCTTTTTGCTCCTGATTCGCAGTGTAGAGTTGGCTAAAAGCCCCCAGCAGCATCCATGCCACAGCCTAAATGTTGAGCTGCCTTGAAATTTCCTCCACTAGATTAATGAGTCCTCTACCCTTAATCTCAGCCTCCTGCAAAGTCTCACAGCATGAGCAAAATATAGACAAATCTTCTGCCAGAGTGTAGCACACATGGCCTGGAGTCTAACTGCCGATAGAGTCCTTCCCAGCTGAAACAGCCTGATGCTGGTCTTTACTCTGCCGTTTGATGAGCATTCTGGTCTTCTAAGCTCTGACCAGTCTCCCATCAAGCTCAGATCATAGCATTCTAGGGTTACATCTCCAAACCTTTCCAAACTACTCCTATGCCTATTTCCAGAGGCTTCTGAACCACGTGATCAGGTTGTCATAGCAGAATCTGTGGTACCAGAATCTGTCTTGGTTACTTCCTATGTTGCTGAGACAAAATACCCAACACTCATAGCTTCAGGGAAGAGAGGTTTATTTTGGCTCACAGTTTGTAGAGGTTTCAGTCCATAGTTGTCCAGCTCCAAAGCAGGATGGCATGGCAGAAGGGTGTAGGCAGAGGAAAGCTCCTCACCTCATGACTGCCAGAAAGCAGAGAGCCCGGAGCATTTATTTAAAAAAATTTTTTTTTAAGTACTGGGGATCGAACTCAGGTCCTTGTGCTTGCGTGGCAGGCGGCGAAACCACTGAGCTAAATCCCCAGCCCCCCGGAGCATTTATTTTAATTGAAGCTTCATGGTCTTACACAGGCGAGAGGTTGAAATTCAAGGTGCCAGGGGAGTGCCGGGAGGGTGCCTCACCCAAGAAAGTGATGCCCAAGCAGGGGCCTGACAGATGAGGACCTGTCTGTTCAGAACAACAGTAGCACAGAATAAGAGGTGACAGGCAAGATATACCTAAAGAGGAAGTGGCCCAGGACTGGTCAGGCCATAGCAGGGCTGTGGAGCTTGTCTAAAACATGATGGAACATAGGAGGGGTTTCAGATGTGGCCACATTTGGGGTGTGTAGAAAAATTACTCTGAACAGGCCTGAGGGGCCTGGGTTCCGTTCCCAGCACCAAAAGATAAAATTAAAAAGAGAGAGAAAATTACTCTGCACCATAAAGAATGAATAGGGGTCCAGGGATTTAGCTGAGTGGTGTCACCACCTGCCTCACAAGCACAAGGTCCTGAGTTTGATCCCCAGTACCAAAAAAAAAAAATGAATGAATGTGGAAGGGGTCAGGTTGGGAAGCAGAAAAACCATTTAGGAAATGGTTTGACTCAGAGTTATAATATAGTGTGGGTGTGTGCAAGAATGAAAAGCAGGGGAAAAATAGAATTACTCTCCCAGGGGATAGAGGGATAATAAAGGTATCAAGAGATAATGATTGTCTAATGCTTTTCTCGTTGCTGGGACAAAATATCTGATACCTACAAATTAAGGGAGGAAAACTTTATTTAGCCCATAGTTTGTAGAGGTTTCAGTCCATAATCAGCTGGCTCCAGGACACAATGGCATGGCAGAGGGGCATTTTAGAAGAAAAACAGTCCATGGTGTGGCAGGCAGAAGGCAGCCAAGCAGCAACCAGAGACCCTGCCTTTCCCTTTTATCCCATCCAGGCAACCAGCCTTTTGGATAGTGCCACCCAGAACTATGCTAATTCCAAAAAGTGGACTAATTTAGTACCATATACCCTTAATCCCTGTATCACACACCCATGTTCCAGCCAGCTCCAGAAAGCCCCACCTATGAACACATCAGGGTTTGGGTGGACATCTAGATACAAGCTGTGACAGTGATTAAGCTGAGCCAAGAAGGGTGCATGTCTGCCTGTGCTCTGCTGTCAGCTGGGAGCAGCGAGACCCTGACATGTTGAGTGGCTGCTGCATACTCATCTGATACACTTCTGGGGCTAAGGACATCGCACAGTGGTAGAGTACACTGTTAGCATGCTTGAGGGCCTAGGTTCAGAACCCAACATATAAAGAGAGGGAGGGTGGACATCCTAATACTGATGTCACAGATTTTTGTATCTCTTTTTTATGTATATACCAATTAGTTCTTAGGCTAAGTAACTTGCCCTGGGTCACACTGCTGGTTAGGTGCAAGCTGGAACAGAAAAAATAGCACGTGCAAAGACATCCAGGTGTAGAACGCATGAGAGATGCATGTGTCTGTCAGCTGGGATGGTGACCAGAGAGAAGGATATTGCAAAGGTTTGTGACGTGGAGGAGGTAAAACATAGCTTTGGATGAGAAAATGAAAAAATGGAAACAAAGTCTTTGTAAATGGGGTGGGATGGAAGGGTTGAAGGGAGGGGCAGGGGGATGGGGAAAAAAATAAGAACCAAGAGAGATTAAGTAAAGGTACAAATTTCCAATGATGAATGTCATACTGTATACCTAAAATATACCAATAAAATTAATTTTTTAAAAACCCATAGCTTTGGAGCCATTTTAGTGGTTGTGAATCTCATCTCTGCCACTTATGTCTAGAAAGGAGGGCAAAAATCTTTACTCTTTTCAGTATCAGTTCCCTGTCTGTAATATGAAGGTGATCATGGTACTTACTTCTTATTATGGCTTGTATCTAGATGTCCCCCCCAAGCTTCATGTGCTCAGAGGTGGAGCTTTTCATAGCTGGCTGGTTCTAGGTGTGTGGTACTAAATTAATCCACTGATTGGTTTAGCATAGTTCTGGGTTTGGATAATGGGACTACCCTCCCTGGTTATGGAAGGCACTACTCAATAAACTAGTAGGCTGAATGGAATAAAGGGAAAGGGAAACTCACTGCTGTTGGCTTCTACTGCTTGCTGCTTTGCTGTCTCCTGCCTGCCATGCCATGGACTGTTTTCCCTCCACAGTGCCCCTCTGCCATGCCACCCTGCCTTGGATCCAGCCAACTATGGACTGAAACCTCTACAAACTTTGAGCCAGAATAAATGTCTCCTCCTTTAACTTGTGGATGAGGAAAGTAACTAAGACATTTCCCTATTATTTTACTACCACTAATTTTACACAAAAGAAAGTGAAAGACATTGTTGAAAGGGTAGGAGCCATAGCAGATGACTTTGTATCTAACCAAAAGCTAAATTAGTTACCTGAGTCATCTAGCAGACGGATTCTTGGTCTAGATCTTTATCCCTGATTTAAGGGCCTGGTTGCCACCTTCTGCACAGCTCTGTGAAATGACTGCTGATTTCTTGAAATAGGCCTCTCAGTGGATGATGAGTGAATGCTTTGAACTTCTCGGCAGCTTGCATCCCAACTGTGTGACCCATGCAGTATTCTCTTAAGCTCTCAGTTACAAGCATCAGTTTGGCAGATTATGTTCCTTAAGCAGGTCCATTTTGGTTGTCTCAAATATTTGGGTGAAATCTTTGATCTCTGTCTGAAAACATAGATACAGAAATCAAGTTCTTGGTATAAAAATGGCATTTGAAGACAGCACCAAGTGCAGACAGCCCTGTCAGCCATATGGTAATAGAATCTTGCCTTTTTGTTACCAAAAAAAGATTAATCTTTCTTTTTTTTTTTTTTTTGAGCTAGGAAGATCTCACTGTACAGTTCAGGCTGGCCTTGGCCTCCCAAATGCTTGGATTACAGGCATGCACCACCACACATGGCTAGTTTAATATTTTAAAGAGCTCAGTTAAGGTGGTAGCCACATGTGGTGATGCACACCTGTAATCTCAGCACTTTAGAGGCTGAGGCAGGAGGATCACTATTAGTTTTAGGCCAGCCTAGGCTACATAGTGAGTTCAAGGCCAGTCTGAACTATGTAATAAGACCCTGTCTCAAAAACATCAACAGGGCCGAGGATTTAGCTCAGTGGTTCCGCCACCTGCCTTGCAAGAACAAGGTCCCAAGTTCTATCTCCAGTGCCAAAAAAACCTCAAAAACACAACAACAACAAAAAATTAATTAGGGTGGCATTAGTGAGTGGGAACATAGGGATGGATGTGAGAATATGAAGACTTGTCAAAATTTGGGCAGGATGTCTGTTTTGGGTCAGAATAGTTAGGGGACCCCCACCCCCATCCCATGTTCAGTTCTAACCCAGGGCTTCACACATGCTAGCCGTGCATTCCACCACTGAGCTGCATCCTCAGGCCAGTTAGTAGTGTTTTAAGCAAGAAAATCAAAGCTTTGTTTCATTTTTTAAACCAGTATCAGCAGTTGTTGACAATGTTTCCTTTCTGCAGGTATCTCAGATAGTTTGAACTTTGATGAGGACAAAACTGATGATGAGGAAGAAGGACAAAAATTAAGTTCCCAATCACGTTATTCAGAAACAGAGAGACCCACTTCTGCATCCAGCCAGAAATCAACCACTGTATGTAGTTCTAACATTTCCCTTCGGTGCTAACTTGCCTCTTCCCCTAACACATCTTTGTAGGGAACAGGGGAAGGGGACGTTACCAGAACCTCTGCAGTAAGTCCTAATCTCCTGTGAGCCACGGCAGCACACGGCGAATTACAGGAAAGGTAGACAAATGAGACTGAGAAGAAGCTGAGCTTTGGGTCTGATCAGTGCTGCTCTGGGCGGCAAAGACAAAAGCCCCCTAGCTTGCAGCACCTTTTATTCAGTACCTCGGGAAAAACAGATGTAACAAGTGAAATATAGAGTTCAGTACTTCACATTGGGATAAACAAGGTGTAACAAAAGGCTGGGGGGCAGTGGAAATCTAAGAACAATGAGGAACTATGCAGATGAAGATTTGGTTCCTCCCTGGCATCTCCCACAGGTGTGGTCTTGTCCTGGAGATTGCAGCATGGTGGTGGTGGGGGATCACTGAGGTCTCAGTTGTGACCAGAGGCCAAAATGCAGTTATGTCTGGAATGTCCTAGCTGGCCTGTAGGCAGGAAAACTAGGCCTACTCAAATGATTTTTCCCTAGAATTATGTAGCATTGCTCCCAACACATCTTCAGTGTTTAGATACAATTACAGAATGAGGTTCCTTCAAAAGACTTACGCCCATATTCAGACCTAATTTCTTCTGTCTCAGTTCAGCTGTTTTCAGGCTTTATATATTCCGTGTTTGTACTAAACTTCTTCCCTACTTCCAGTGTGCATACCCTCATTGTCTGACTATTAGAATGCCTCCATGTTCTCAGAAGACTGAAGACATGGGGTAAATCAGTGAGCTCTGTGTTTCTTGCGGAGAATGTGAAGGTTCTGACCCACCTGTGTTGTTCCTGCACGGATGTACTTTCAGAGCACAGGAGCTTTGGGCACTGCAGGCCCACAAGTTGACCCCCAGTTCAAAGAAGTGGAGAACCTGGAGGACTTTGCATACAGTCCCGCTCCGCGCGGTGTCACAGTCAAATGCCGGATAACCAGGGATAAGAGAGGAGTGGATCGGGGTCTCTTCCCCACATACTTTATGCACTTGGAAAAAGATGACAGTCGGAAGGTATGAGAATTAATTCTTAACATTTTTTTTTTTTGAGACAGATTGCTAACCTACCTACACATGGCTGACTTATAGTCCTCCTTTGAGGCTGAGGCACCACACACAGCTGGCCCTCCCTCCCTCCTTCCTTTCCTCCCTTCTCCCTTCCCTCTCTTTCTTCTTTCCTTCCTCCCCATGTTGAAGATTGAACCCATGGCTTTGAATGTACGAGGTGAGTGCTCCACCACTGAGCTACTCCCCTGGCCCCTGAAGCGACTCTTGAAAGAAATCTGCTGGGGAGGTGTGTGTGGCCTCCAAGTGTTTGGCACTGATTCTGTGTTCTCCTGATTCTGTGCTCCCGGTATCTTCAAGGTGCTCATAGTCCAGCAGACAAGCTCTGCCCTCCTCCATAACCACCACCCCAAGAAAATTAACTTTATCCACAATTTAAGAAAATAGAGCAGAATTAGTTTTTCCTGGTTCTGGGAGTCAGACATAGGGCCTTCTACATGGCAGGCAGATGTTCTCCACTGAGCTACAGCCCCAGCCCCAGAGAATATGTTAATGTTGTTATTTCTACTTCCTTCCCAGTGTTTATTTTTGAGTATTACTGTGTGTTCTTTGGTTTTTCTTTTTATTGTGGCTGAATATGATACTGTGGAAGAAGGAGAACAGGTTTTAGGTTGTAGGAGAAATTGGAAATACAGAAGGTCATGTTAAATATGAAATATTGAAGGTATGTTAAATATTTTATTTTTCATCCTAGAAATTCTAATTTATCAGTTTAAGACCATTTAATCCTTCCTATTAAAAATGCATTTTGTATTAATACCAGGACTAAGGGGATGATTTTAAGAGCCTAGAAATGAGGTAATGATAATAGGCATTATTGTTATTATAACTACTGTTTATTGAATGTTTAGAAGATACCAGGCGTGCACTAGGTATTTATGGTATTATGACCTGCAGTTCTTATCACAACCTCACTAGGCAGGATTTCTTGTCTCTGTTTTATAGACTGGGAAGTAGGGCTTGGGGAATGACTTACCTGTCCACAGTCCCACTGGTAAGTGGCAGAGCCAGATTCGAGCCCCCCCTGTGTGATTCCAAAGTCCTCATGCTCAGGCACTGCTATTCCTGCTTCCTTAGTACTGTCCCACTCTAGTGGAATTCAAGGAGTGTGCATACATGTGACTGTATTCTGACCCCTGACATCACAGGATCCAAAACAATAAAGTACAAGGAGGGAGGCAGAAGGAAGCAGTAAGAGTAAGGAACAGGAAAGTGAGCAGCGTCCTGCCTCTCCTTAAGACAAACTTCAAAATAGTGAATTTAGGGAACTTGTGTGGAAAGCAAACTGACTGTGACTGCCGCTCACCCCCCACACCCTGCTAGGTCCAAGCCCAGGGTACCCCACGGGGGCAAGTGATTGTGCCTCATCCCACTTCCAGTGATTTCTACCTCACTGAGAGGGTTAGAGAAAGGGATAAAGACACAAAATTGACTGGTAGACACTTGCTAAATGCTTGCTGAACTTATAGGTAGAACCATGGGGATCCACTTGACTTCATTTTTTTTTTTTTTTTTTTTGGTACCGGGGATTGATCTCTGGACCTTGCACATGAGAGGCAGGCAGCAGAACCACTGAGCTAAATCCCTGGCCCTTGACTTCGTTTTTTGACAGATAGGATTTTTTTTTCCAGATATTTCTTCTTGCAGGTAGAAAGCGGAAAAAGAGCAAAACATCCAACTATCTGATCTCCACCGACCCAACGGATTTATCTCGAGAAGGAGAAAGTTACATTGGCAAGCTCAGGTGAGAGCAGCCTTTATACCCTTGTCCTGTTCTTTCTGTAGGTTTATTCCTGTTGTTTCAAAACAGTCCATATCTTTTTTACAATTAGCATGTAGAGATGTGATAATCAAAAAAGAAGAAAAAGAAAAACATTGAAATGAAATCCAAGTCCCCTCTTTGTTGCCACAAGAGATCTTTGAAAAAGTGACGCCGACCATCCAGACATGGAGAACAGGCAGACAGGCCCTGTTCTCGGCCTCTCCCTGCAGGAAAGTGCACCTCATCACAGTGACTTTGTCTCTTGGCACTAGGTCCAACCTCATGGGCACCAAGTTCACGGTGTACAACCACGGCGTCAGCCCCTTGAAGGCCCAGGGTCTGGTGGAGAAGACCCACACCCGGCAGGAGCTGGCTGCCATCTGCTATGTGAGTGCTGTCCCCATGTGTGCCCCTCCCTATGCCCCTACCCCAGCTCCCTTCCCAAGTTGTCTCTGTTCCTGTGACCCATCCCCCTTTGGTCACTGCTGTCATTTTCTCCATATAGTCACGTTTTCATTATTTATGAATTGCCAAGTTCAGCTGTTTTTTGTTTTTACCTTTTTTTGCTCTTGTTTTTAACTTTTTTTTTTTTTTGGTACGGGGATCGGACTCAGGACCGTGCACTTGCCTGGCAGGTGCTGTGCTGCTGAGCTAAATCCCTGGCCCCTTTGCTCTGCTCTTCTGTTTTTGTAATGTCACTTAATTTAGACCTTCTTTACTTCTTATCCATTGACCAGAGGTTACAATAAATTAAAACTGACCTCTCTGCTTTTAGTCTTTCCTTCCTTCCTTCCTTCATCCTTCTGTCTTTCTTTTCTTTTCTTTCTCTCTTTTCTTCCTTCTTTTTCCCTCCCTCGCTCTGCCCCTTCCTTGCTGTCCTCCTCCTCTCCATCACCTCTTTCTGACAGGGTCTTGCTACATAGTCAGCTCTGGCCTTTAACTCCTGGACTCAAGTGACGCTGCTGTTCCAGCCTCCCGAGTCACTGGACCACAGGCACAGGCAGCACCCAGGCCTCTTTGGGTGCTGCCCTCTTCTCCTCTTTGGTTCACTCTGTTCTGCTGCTAAGTATGCCTCTCTCAGTCAGGCCAGCAGCTGACCTCGCTGGTCTCCTGCTTCAGTGACCACTCATTCCATTGAGCAGGGGTAGTGTAGTGTATCATGCTGGAATTGCATAAGCATTGCATAAGCATCACGGAGGGTACTTGACTTGTGATGACTGTCCATTGAGACTTTCCATGGCTGTGATCCCAGCATTCTTGGAGGCTGAGGCAGGAGGATCACAAATTCAAGCCCAACATGGGCAATTTAGAGACTTAACTAAGCCTCATCTCAAAATTAAAATTTAAAAAAAGTTTGGAGATGTAACTCAGTGCAAGGGCTCTAGGTTCAAACCTTAGTACCACTGAATACCTACATGCATATATACACACATACCCATTGCATACAGAAGAAAGTCTGGCTGAGTGTGATCCCACACCTGTAATCCCAGAGCTCGGGAGGCTGAGGCAGGAGGATTGCCACAAGTTTAAGGGCAGCCTGGACTACATAACAAGTCTGTCTCAGAAGAAGAAGAAAGTTTGGACATCTTCGCCTTTCCTTTTTGACTCTTTGGGGCACTGCCTCTCTCAGTCCCATTGTTCTAGCCAGGGTGCCCCCCCTAGCCCTTCGCCTGGCCTCATTGGTCTCTCACTTGAGAGTCCTCTCCTGTCCCTCTGTGCCTGTTGCTCATCATCTGCTGCTGACATCACTGCGAAGTCTTTGGTGACAGCTGGACTCAGGGGGCAGTTGTGCGTCTGCTTCCCGTGGCCTCTGTAACCTGCCTATTGCCATAGTGTTAGTACCTGCTAAGCACGAGTGCTCTGTGCTACTGTGTAAGCGCTTTTGAACTCTCGTTCACTCTGGAGCCACACTAGCAGAGGGCCTGGTGCACAGTGGCCATTTAAAGAGTTGTTGAGTAAAAAAAGCCAAAGAGTTGGGCGTGGTGGTGCGTGCCTATGGTCCTAGCACTCGAGAGACTGAGGCAGGGGGATCACCACAAATTCAAAGCCAGGCTAGGCTATGTCATGACTTGAGGACCACCCTGAAATACATAGTGAGTCTCGATATCAAAAAAACCAAAACCTGGCCGGGGATTTAGCTCAGTGGTTTTGCCACCTGCTGCACAAGCGCAAGGACCTGAGTTCGATCCCCGGTACCAAAAAAAAAAAAAAAAACCAAAACCAAAACCAAAAAAAATTCTACTAAAGACAAAAAGTGAAGTGTCAACACAATAGAACCCATTTTATATGTAGGTGTTTAATGTTTTTAAAAAAGAAGTTCCAAACTACAGCTGAGTATAATGTTATGCATCTGGAATGCCAATACTCCAGGAGACTGAGGCGGTAGGATTACAGGTTCAAGACGGGGTACAGTGAGGGTGTGGGGACTGTCACTCAGCACAAAGGTGGTGGTTGAATCCCCAGTACCTCACTGTTTTTTTTTTTTAAGTACAGAAATACTTGGGTTTTTTCTTTTGAGACAGGGTCTTGTTGTATGTCCAGGCTCAAGCACCTGGGTTCATATGTTTCTCCTGGCTCAGCCTCCTGAGCAGTTGGGACTGTAGGTGCCACTGTGCCTGGCTTCCTATTTTTGATTCTCTGTTTTTGTTATTTTTTAATCACAGCAAAGTGATGAAATCAATCTTGGTGTTCTTGACATTGCCAGCATTTGATATGCCTAGAAACTCTTTTATCAGGACAGAATTGCTCTCTTTTTCCTTTGTTTCCAAATTCTGCCTTGTTTTCTTGTCTCCCAGGAAACAAATGTGCTTGGATTTAAAGGGCCTAGAAGAATGTCTGTGATTATTCCAGGGATGAATATGAATCATGAACGGATCCCATTTCAGCCACGAAATGTACGTAAGAGCATACTTAATCAGCAGAGAGCTGTGAGAGACAGTAGTCCAGGGAGAAGAACCCACTGCAAACAGTACTGGTCCTTCCAGCCCCCATAGTGTTGTCTGGCTCACCCCTCTTGGGAGCTGTTGCTCAGCTTCAGGACAGGGGCAGCTCCAGAGGTGTGGCTGCAGTCAGGGATCTAAAACCATCTCAAATACTGCACAGAGAAATGCTGGATTGTATACTGAAATGAAAAGGAAAAAACTGGGTTCATGTCTTGTTTTAATTCTTTGCTTCTGTTTTACCCTTTCTGAAATAGAAAACATGTCCCTACTCTCCTTTTTACCTGGAAGAACTGAGAATAAACCCGTTCTGTGGTTACAGTACAGAATGGTGTTCTTCCCCTTGACAGGACCATGAGAGCTTGCTTTCGAAATGGCAGAGCAAAGCCATGGAGAACCTGATTGAGCTGCACAACAAGGCCCCGGTCTGGAACGATGACACGCAGTCCTACGTCCTGAACTTCCACGGCCGGGTCACTCAGGCGTCAGTGAAGAACTTCCAGATAGTGCACGATAATGACTGTAAGCTGCGGGGAGGTGCATGGGACAGGAGGGTGTCCTGCCAGTACACAGTGAGAGCCTCCTGGGACTGCAGGAAGGAGTACTCAGAAAGAAAGGGTTTCTTTGGAAAGACAGAAGGACATCTTTGGAAGAAAACTTTTCTGCTGTGTTGAGGAGTAGAGAGGAGTGAGAGGGAGTCTTGGGCAGGCCTTGGGCATGGGTGCAGGGGACCCAGGAAAGCTCTTGTGAGTCAGGCTCACAAAGCAAGTTCTGCCCTCAGTCCTGCACCCCGCTCCACCCTCTGTGCTGCTCAGGAGTAGTCTCACAGACTTTGCTTATGATGAGCAGACACTTACTGCCTCTTCCCATCCCTATAAGCTCCCTTTTTTTCCTAGCAGCACTGGGGATTGTATCAGGGCCTTCACAGTGAGCTACGTCCCCACCCCTTTTTATTTTAGCCAAGGTTTTGAGCTGGAAATGGTGGCCCACTCCTGTAATCCCAGTATTTGGGAGGTTGAAACATGAGGATTGCCATGAATTCAATCCTGAACTACATAGTGAAACTCTGTCTTCAAAAAAAGAAGAAAAAGGGGCCAGGGATTTAGTTCAGTAGTGCCACACCTGCCTCGCAAGTGCAAGTTCCTGAGTTCGATCCCCAGTACAAGAAAAAGAAAAAAAGGAAAGGAGAGAGACTGCATCTTGCTAAGTCACTGCGTCACCCAGGCTGGGCTCAGACTTGTGACCCTCCTGCCTCAGCCCTCCAGAGTGCTGAGGTCACAGGCTTGGGCCACCACGCCCAGCTGAGATTCCTATTTTATTTATTTTATGTGCTGGGGATGGAAACCAGAGCCTCGTGCACATGAAGTATACATGCTACCACTGTGCTATAGCACTGTCCTTTCCCCCTTTTTCAGTTAAAGAGAAGTGGTGATTAACTGACCAGTTTGACGTTTAGGGGTTTTTTCCCTTCTACTTACATAGGTTTTTCCTTGGTACAGTCTTTTTTTTTTATCACTACCAGGGTTGAACCATCAGTCTTCACACTGAGCTATATCTGAGTCCTTTTTAAAATTTATTTATTTATTTTTGGTACTGAGGATCGAACTCTGGACTTTGCACTTGCAAAGTAGGCGGCAGCACCACTGAGCTAAATCTGTGGCCCTTTTTTATTTTTATTTGCATATAGGAGTTTTGTTGGGGTTTTTTTGGTACTAGGGATCGAACTCGGGCCCTTGCGCTTGTGCAGCAGGAGGCAAAACCACTGAGCTAAATCCCCGGCCCTTTTATTTTTATTTTGAAACAAGGTCTCACTAAATTGCCACAGTTGGGTCAAACTTGCAATCCTCCTGCTTCAGCATCCTATGTGCTTGCATTACAAGCAGAACCACCACGCCTGGCCTGCCCATATCACCTTGTAACACCCACTTGGTTTTTGCTTCTAGCTGACTACATTGTTATGCAGTTTGGGCGTGTGGCAGATGATGTGTTCACACTGGACTACAACTACCCGCTATGTGCACTCCAGGCCTTCGCCATTGGGCTCTCCAGCTTTGACAGCAAGCTGGCATGCGAATGAGAGAAGCCACAGGCAGAGCTGCTCCTCACACGGCTCTCAGGAGCAGAAGTCAGCCCTTCGGATGGTCTGTGAGCACATGTATGCTGTGTGTGTGTGTCTGCAGATGGGCTCACAGGTATATACATTCACAAATGCCCCTTCTCCGGGTTGGAGAGACTCTGTCGGGGTGCAGTGTGGCCTGGGTAAGTGAGTGTTCACAGCCAGAGAGCTACTTGTCAGGAACCGGTGACTCCTGAAGTGGCTGTCCTGCAGGCTGAAGAATCAGGCTCTCACAGTCTTTTTTTTGAGACTGTGGGACTCACTATGCAGTCCAGTCTGGCCTCAGACTCACAATGTAGCCCAGGCTGGCCTTAAATTTGTGATCTTCTTGCCTCAGCCTCCTGATTGCGGGGTTATAAATGTGGGCGCCTGTCCCTGGCTTCTGGATCTCTTTTCCAAAGAGGGACAATTCCCTAAATTGCCTTTAGTCTGCAGGCAGAAAAGCATGCACACCGTCTCTGTAAAAGTCCTGCGAGTCTCTCTCACAGCTACTCAGATCTGCCTTCAGAGTACAGAAGCAGCCATAGATATCTGCACACAAAGGAGTGTGGCTGTGTCCACTAAACTTTACTTGCAAAAGAGATGGCAGGCAACATTTGGCCCATGGGCTCTAGCTTGCTACCCTGCTTCAGGTCTGTCTTGTACTCTGTGGTTTGAGCATCTTCCAGAGTGGGCCTGTGGTCACGAGCCGTGCGTAAAAAGTGGCCCAGGGGAGCGCGGTCCTAAAAGATTGTCCTCACCAACATTCGTGTAGCTCTGCCTTTGGAGAAAATGGGTCTAGCATGCTGTCTCCCAGTCAGCGGTCACTGTGCGTCCACACAGGTGACCTCACCCTGCTGTCCCACCAAGCTTCCTCGTGGGAGAAGACAGTGTCTGCAGTTTATGCCCAGAAAGAACTTGGGCACCCCCACAGACGCTTGGGGCCCCTGCAGGTGCTCTGCTACAGCTCTAAGTGTCACCACTCCCTCTTCCCTGCCTTCCCCCAGCAGCCTGGTGGGTGCCTATCTCCTTCAGAGTGGCTGTGGCCAGATCTGTGCTCAGCTTTGTGAGAACATGCTCTTAACTGTCTTCATCTCTGCTTAGGCTGACGTACATTCTAGAGGGGACTGCCTAGGAGGATGAGGAGCCCTTTGGTAGCCGCCTTTATTCTCAGCCCAGGTGTGCTTCCCACACTCATCTGCAGACCATGGAGTAGGGTGAGGCAGTGCCACAGACAGGCACTTGCTCAGTGTCCCTGTTAAGAGATGTGGCAGGAGAGGCTTGGGAGGCCAGCTAGCCAACCTTGACGCTGCAGACCTCGCTGGGCAGAGCTCGGCTGCCCTTGGCGTCTGTGTTTCCAGGTCCCCAAAGCCTAGCCCATCTGCGTGAGCGATGCTCCTGGGCTGCCCCTCGCAGATCCTAAGACTCCTAAGTCTTTCTAGTGGTAAACATCTCCCAGCAGATGGAGAGCCTCCTCTCAGGTCACTGGCCCCGCAGTGTATCTGAACTCGAGACTCCAAAAGCCGTTCCACACTCAGCACTGCTCAACTCCCAAGCCTTCATGCTCTGAGCTGTTTGCCAGCCTGGGATATGGAAGCAGTGCCCCACGATAATTCCCTTCCCTGTACTTTCCATGTCTCTGCTTCCGTTGTTCCTTGCTCCACATCCAATAGCCATGAGATACAGGCCAGAGATCCAGGATGAAAAGGCTCTGCTATGTGGGGCCGGCTTGTTCTGACAAGACTGGTTTCCATCTCAGGCAAGCTTCCCATCAAGTGCCTCATTTCTAAAAGTGCCCTAAAGCCCGTCCACCTCTGCCACCCACTGTCCCAGTGAACTAACAAGCCACCCTTGCTGGAACAAAGCTGTCCCTTCTCTCCAGCTGCAGTGTCACAGTGATTGGGGACTGGGGACCTTGCTAGGACAACTAGATCTGATCCTCTGTCCTCTGGCTCAGAGAGCCGTAGCCCCACTTCCAAGTACTCTCAGCTCGAGTACAGAAATCATGTTTATACCTTTTGTATGCTACAGAAATAAAATATTTATATTAAAAACGTGTCACAGAGTCCTCAGAGTCTAATTCCTCACAGAGTGCCTATTATCATGTTCTGAAATAGTAGCTTCCAGCTTGGCAACAGAGAACTAACCAGCTTTTTTTTGTACCAGGGATTGAACTCACGACCTTGAGCTTGTGAGTCAGGTGCAGTGCCACTGCGCTAAATTCCCGGCCCCTAACCAGCTTTTTGAAGCTGGCCATCCACAAACTTTGGTCCTGGGTGAAGCAGGAATCTGCAGACAAGCAGCCTGTACTCAGGAGATGTTACAGAAATATTACAGGGCTCAGAAGAATGGCGCCCTGGGCAACAGAATGGTGGGACATCTGCGTAGGTTTCTCTCTGTGGAAGTTGATTCCCCAGCAACCAGTAAAATAGGCCCCACCTCTTGCCTTGTAAGTGTCGCCTTATATTGACAAGGTGAAAAGAGTGCACTCAAGTCTTTATGGGGCTCCCATGCATAGCAGCATCAGGGATGGTGAAGCACATGAAAAGGAACAGGGAAAGCTAAAATCCAGGACAGGAGCTGGAGTTCACTTGTGATTTTTCTCTTTTTTTGTGGCTTTCTGTGGCAATGGTGTGTGCTAACCATGTGAATTCTTTGTGACATTCCATATATTTTTTGGTGGTCAGAGATCATTTTATTTTGGAGGAGTGAACCCAGATGATGACTTATGCATGCTAGGGAAATGATCAACCACTGAGCTGCAGCTTCTGCCCAATTAAAAAGAAAAAGCCCTCTTTATTTCACCCAGTATATCTAAAGTTAGCATCTGTCAGTTCAGTCACAGGGCCTAACATTGTCATCTTAGGACACGTAGACACCTTGCTCTGTGGGTACAGCTGGGACCTGCAGGCTGCCTCAGCTCCAGTCCTTCTCTACTCCACCTCCATGCACCGGTGTCCACCCACCCCAGGCCGCTCAGGGGCTCCTGGGACACATTTTGGACCATTCACATAGCAGATCATTTTGCTTACTCTCCTGCTTTGTTCCTTGTCATAGTGAACAAATATTCTTTGTCCTGCTCCTACTCCTCCTCCTCCTCCTCCTTCTTCCTCTTCCTCTTCCTCTTCGGCAGCATGGGGGATTGAACTCAGGCCTTTGCACTGAGCTACATCTTGAGACCTTTTTTATATTTTTTATTTTGAGACAGGCTGTGTTGGGGTTGGTGGACTGAAGGGAGACCCCGTCAGGTGAGGTTTCCAAAAAAAAGAACATATGTGGAGCAGACATCACAAAAAAGCAGGAACCAAACTATTTTTCAGCACAGCACTTATAGTAGTTTATCAGCTTACTGAGACACAGACAAAACATTCTGAGCAACCTTGCAGGCCATGTGGCACATGCGTGGTTGTCTATGCTGATTCATTATTATATGACAAAGTTCCATTGTGCACCTGCACTAAATGAGGGGATTGTGTCCTCAGGTGCCCTCAGAGTTCCTCAGATGCCCAAGCGTTGACACATCTTACAACGGCCCCTACAAGGTGTAACTGTTACTCGGGCCAGGCTTGAGCTTGCCATCCTCCGGCCTCAGCCTCCCAGAGGGCTGGGGTTACTGGTGTGCTGGCTACTGATGGTCTTTAAAAGTCCCCTAGTGCTCATCAACCAGAGCGCTTTCCAGGGCAGCCTAGGAAAGAAGGACTTGCTCTTAGGGCTCTGTGAGGGCTTTAGTTGTGCTCACGGCGTCACCTAAGGCCATAGTACTGCAAGTGTGCTATCCGGGATAGCTCAGGAGGTAACTTCCATGGGATCCTGCTTGCTGAGCACCCTGATGCATACCTTGGTTCTTCTGTAGCTGAAGACCTGGTAACTGACATGGGTCTGGGTGATCCCAGCACTTCACATATTCAGGCTACCACTCAGCCACACCCTAGCCCTAAGTACTTTTGTTTGTTTTTGTTTTGAGACAGGGTCTCACTATATACCCCAGACTGGCCTTGAACTCAGTGACCCTCCTACTTCAAGCCTCCCAAGTGCTGGGATCATCGACTGCATCCTCACACCCAACTCTTAAGTACATTTTCTGTTTTGGGACAGGGTCTTACTATGTGACCGATGGCCTCAAACTCACTAAGTTACCCAAAGTTAACCCACACAGTCTCAAACTCAAGATCCTCCTGCCTTAGCTTCCGAGTGCTAGGATTACAGGTGTGAGCCACTACATCTGGCTTCCCTAAGTACTTTCAAAGCAAATTTGTGGTTTTGGGGATGTTGATGAGAGAAAAGAAAGACAGCATGGTTTAATTGGGTCCCTATCGTACTGCTCCAGCCTGCCTCATTCCCCTTACATTGTACTCACCTCTCTATTTTCACTTGAAGGCAAAAATGAACCCACTGTTCATAGAAATTTTTGAATATTTCAAATATGAAACAGGCTTCTGTGATTTTTCCAGGTCTGCCTGGGCTTTCAGCCCATCCAGCCTAGGCACTTCTGCATGCTGCTGTCCAACACAGCTGGGCCCAGAATCCTGAAGGCAGAGAGAATAAGCCCCAGGAAGGGAAAAGCTGGAGTTTCTACCACTATAACAAAATACCTGGCTTGCACAGTATGGCCAGAGACATCAGCTAGCACTCATTCTACTAACAAGAAAGCAGAGGACTGACTACAAGAGATAGAATTGTATCTGCCTCTATTTCCAACCAGATTCATGAACATGAGTCTTGAACATGAACTCACACAAAAAAGCCGGCAAATTTTTATTAACCCTTTTTCAAAGTTAATATAAAACTATAGCAAATAAAGGAACCTAAACTTTATAGCAACACAGCTGGAACAATCCACAGCAGCAGTGATGGCAGCAGCAGGAGACGAGATTTAATTTAGTTGATTTTCTGTGGTTGGTTGTTGGCTAGTCTCATGGTGATGGAAGCTGCTGGAGGTTTGGTTCTCCCATCAGCGACCCAATGCCCACCAGGGACCTGGGGATCTTTACACTATCCTGAGATCTGAGTGGGATGCACTTTGGAAGGATGTGCAATGTTCAATCATAAGTGTGACAAAAACTGGCAAGCAGGAAGCTTTTGTGCTCAGTGAGAGTAGCACGTTTGTCTCCAAGAGGCGCTTCATTCTGAAGATGTGGTTCCACCCTCTTACTGAAAACTCCGGTTCCCCTGTTGAAGCTTGCTAGGGATCAGGGTGGGCTTGACTCGATTCAAAGCTTTTATTCTTGTAAGAATTTTATAAAACCTTCTCACAAAGGGTATCCACACCAGAATTTCCAGTAAAAAATTAAGAGTTTCTTAATGCAGTTTTCCCAAATGGAGCAGCACATTGTATGGGACATATGAATTCTGACTGTTGGTAGTTGTATATTGTGGATTTCCCAGAGAGTTGGAGTAATCAGCCAGATCAGACCCTGGAAATGCTGATGAGTGAGCTTCACCCGGGAGTTATTGACCAGTTCCACAGGAAAGAAGGTGTTACTGCAAAGGATTCCCTCATGAGGGTACAGTCTGTGATCTGATACCAGGACCTGTCACTGATGGATGCCACAGTGTTCAATCCCTGTGGTATTCAGTGGATGGAATGAAATGGGGTGGAACTCACTGGACTATTCACATCACTCCAGGACCAGAGTTTTCTTACGTTAGCTTTGAAACAAACTTAAGTCAGACCTCCTGTGATGACCCGATCAGGAAAGTTGTGCAAGTCTTCAAGCCAGGACAGTTTGGGACCACCTGGTTTGTTAATCAGAGTTCTAAAGGTCGCACAGTGCTTCTTCACCCCAGGAGATTGAAGGTTTTAAACTGATTGCCAGTGCTATGTTCAATGATTACAATTTTGTTTTTACTAGTTTTGCTAAGAAGCAGCAACAACAGCGAATTAAGAAAAATTTTTTTTAAAATGCAAAAACCAGGGCCGAGGATTTAGCTCAGTGGTTTCGCCGCCTGCTGTGCAAGCACAAGGTCCCCAGTTCAATCCCCGATACCAAAAACAAAACAAAACAAAAAACACACACATAGAAAGTGGTAGCTGCTTTCTAGATGTTGACACCAGGGGCCACGTTTTCCATAGCCTCCACCTTGCAGTTGCAGGAAGCCCTAGGTGTAATGATAGTGTAATAACTTTGAAGTGTATGCATTATTATATCAAGGAGTTAGACATCTTGCATGAGTGCTTTCTTATGTGTTTAGGTATTCTGTGCTACTAGCTGTGAAACTGAAATGCATGTAGAAAAAAACTTCTACTGTATGAAACTTTACAACGCTTGTGAAAATAATTGCTTGGTTCATGCACAGTGTGATATTTCTGCAGGTATCGCCCGAAATTCCCCACGGACGAGGCTTTCATCCTCACCGGGTGTTGGCCTCCACCTAATAATCTGGGAATGCTCTATTACATTGCTGCCAGAATTTTATATCTAGTTCCCACCATTTTCTAGAACATACTCTCTACTAATATTATTGAAACCAATTTCTACTTCATAAAAATGTTTTTGCAACAGCGATTAAAGTTTTTCTTCTAGGAGTCAAGTCCTCCTAAGAAAAAAATTCCAGTTACTCATTTTGTGTAGTACTGTTTTAATAATTGTTTCTGCATTTGTAGTCCTTGATTTCTTCCCTCACCACGATGTCTTTCCTCTGCCTCCAGGTCCCCAAATAAAAGCAATACACTGTTTAAAAAAACCAAACATACAAAAAAGACCCCTAAACTAGGCATGGTGGAACATGCCTGTGATCCCAGCACTCCAGAGGCTGAGGTAAGATTGCTATGAGTTTGAGGCCAGCCTGCAAGTGAGTTCAAGGCCAGTCTGAACTACATAGTGAGACCCTGTCTCACAAAAAACAGGGTGGGGGGGATACCTAGATAATAACTTAGAAAGAGAAAACTTATTTTGACATTTGTTTTAATTTGCAATGTTGGGCTCTATCCAGGGCCTCACATTTGCTGAGCACACACTTTCCCACTGACCTGCATTCCCAGCCCCTTGGCTGGTGGCTTGACCAGGACTGAGTGGGCCTGTTGCTTGTTGGCCTCTGCTGGGGTGGTGATGCCAATG